AAAGGCTTCACATGGCGAAGGGGGGACTACCCCCCCTTCCGCCACCAACCCCCCCTCGGTCGCTTCGCTCCCTCGCCGTGATACCGCTCCCTCATGCCAGATTTTTCTAGAAAAACCCCTGGTACAGCTGTGTGTAACAGTGGTACAGCTGTGTAATAGTAGACTGTGGTACGTACCTCGTACATCTGAGAGTCCATCTCGTCCTCAGAGTTGGAGAACTCGTCGCTGGACCAGCCAATGTCGTCGGAATCCTCGTCCTCCACGGAGGTCGTCGCCACGCCGCTGTCGCCGTTACTGGAGGATGATGGGATACCATTGTCGTTGTAATCTTTGGGGGACGGACTCTTCTCGGGCTGGTAGCCCCACTGATTCTGTTTCATCAGTCTGAATCAATAACCGATAATCAATAACCAATTATCAATAACCAATAAACCAGGGCTCTTCTCTGGCTGTCAGCCCCACTGATTCTGTTTCATCAGTCAGAATCAATAACCGATGATCAATAACCAATTATCAATAACTAATAAACCAGGGCTCTTCTCGGGCTGGTAGCCCCACTGATTCTGTTTCATCAGTCTGAATCAATAACCGATAATCAATAACCAATTATCAATAAACCAATAAACCAGGGCTCTTCTCTGGCTGTCAGCCCCACTGATTCTGTTTCATCAGTCAGAATCAATAACCGATGATCAATAACCAATTATCAATAACTAATAAACCAGGGCTCTTCTCGGGCTGTCAGCTCTACTGATTCTGTTTCATCAGTCTGAATCAGTAACCAATAATCAATACCTTATACAGAACTGTTCTTAGAACTATAGAACTGTTCTTAGAACTATTAGATCTGTTCTTAGAACTATTAGATCTGTTCTTAGATTAGAACTATAGAACTGTTTTTAGAACTAATAGAACTGTTCTTAGAACTATTAGATCTGTTCTCAGAACTATAGAACTGTTCTTAGAACTACAGAACTGTTCTTAAAACACTATAGAACTGTTAGCAGAAGTGTGCTTACTTGTGCACAGTGTTCGGGGACAGGTTCGGCCGGTGGCTGTCCTGCGTGTCAGACAGGTCAGAGGACTGGCGCTGGGGCACTCCTGGAAAACGGGAAAGTTTCATTACTGGAGATGCATTATATAAAATCCAGTTTTTAATAGAGACATGCAGATTCAACATAATGTTTGCTTGCATTTTGCATTCACTGTTTTTCTGGGCAGCACCAAAACATGATGCAGTAAGGAGAATTTACCTGCAGTAAGGAGAATTTTATCGGCATTAAGGAGAATTTAGCTGCGGTAAGGAGATTTTACCTGTAGTAAGGAGAATTTACCTGCAGTAAGGAGAATTTACCTGCAGTAGTGTTGCCTGGAGCTCGTGTGTTGGCTGGGAGCGAGTTAGTCTTACGAGTAGCTGAATAAGAAGGAAGGAAGGAAGGAAGCGTGAGTATCATGTTGCAGCACCAATGGCAGCTGCTAGGCGGCGCTGTAATAGGTAGGTCCTGTGCAGGAAGCAGTACATACAAGTAACTGTTAGTGAGTAATGCATCTGCCATTATTTATGTGATGAAGTCCTGGGCATTTAGAGTTGTTTAAACCATTATACTGTGAGGTTTTTTTAGCCCTAATGTGTTGGGTAAAAGTTTAAATCATGTTCAGATGGTCCCACCATATGATGGAATTGGCACAAAAACTCTCGCGAGACTATGCGTCTCCAACACGTGACCCCGAAGAGAGCGTGTCGGGACATGAATGGACAATCTTCCATTCTACAGTTTGCCACGCAGCGCTGCCTGTTCAGATCTGACAGGATGAAATGTTTGTTATTCTGTAGCTTGGCTTTTTAATAGGGCTTGTCTGCAATGTTTGTGTGTTCTGTTGTGTGTACATAGAGCTGTGCGACAAACAAATTGTGGGAATAAAACCCGTGTTTATGAACAAATTACAGGTAACATAGGACTAAAAGTTAACTCAGAATAAATTCAAACATAATTAACTAAAAGTTAACTCAAAGTAACTGCAAACTAATAAAAGACAAAAAACTAAAAGTTAACTCAGAGTTATCTCAAACATAATGAACTGAAAGCTAACTCAGAACATTCAAACTGTTTTCAAATGAACTAAAAGTTAACTCAAAAATTCAAACATAAACAAACAAACCTTCAGCAGAGTCAAACTGAGGCGGAGTAAGGTGTATGGCAGGGTTAAAGGTCAGATCAGGCACGACCCCTGCAGACGTGACCCTGCCCTGGGGTTGTTGTTGTTGATGATGTTGCTGTTGTTGTTGATGTAGCTGTTGTTGTTGTTGATGTTGTTGATGTAGTTGTTGTAGTTGTTGTTGTTGCTGTTTAGGAGGAGCAGCAGGTGAAGCCCCACCTGAGTGTATAGAACGAGTGCTGTACCAAACATGGTCTGTCTACTGAACATGTAATTGTCCACAAATGTCCCAATTCCCCCTAGACTTTCTACATTGTATCTGATTTTAACTTACTACAATTTTAGAATTGAATCGTGTATATGGGTATGGTTATGTTAACCGTTAAACTTTTACTCTTGATTTTAGCTTGTGTAGAAAATTGTTTTTTTGTATGTTTTGCTAGTTTATTTCTGTAATATTGCTTCAGCCTTCGGGTTGTGACTGTTTTGAAGTTAATGTCATAATAACCCATTTTCATACCTTTGCAAGCGTCAAACTGCGAGAGCAGGACTCGGCGGATCTCCTTGAGCCAGATGGACTTGGTGTCGGCGGTGGGGGCCTGGAAGGTGTACACCTCAGATCTGCCGTGCAGCCAGACCTCGAACTTACGGGCGTCGCCTTTTACATTCTCTGTGATGCCGACTGCACTCATCTGTGGGGGCATCATCAACATCATCTTCATCAACATCATCAACATCATTAGTATCATCGTCATAATTAGTATCATCATCATCATCAACATCAGCATCAGCATCAACATCATCCTCATCATCATCAACATTATCATTATCAGCATCATCATCAACATCATCATCATCATCATCAACATTATCATTATCAGCATCATCATCAACATCATCATCATCATCATCGAACTTGCGGGCATCGCCCTTCACGTTCTCTGTGATGCCGACTGCACTCATCTGGGGGGGCATAATCATCATCATCATTAACATCATCATCATCATCAACATCATCATCAAAGTGTAACTAATAATAATATACAGTTCTTGTAGCTGTATCAGGTTTGTTAGTTAGTTAATTAGTTACCTGTATGCAGTTCTTGTAGCTGTAACACGCCCTCTCCCCCTCCTTGATGTCCTCCCGTTTCTTGCAGAAGAGAAGCAGCTTCTCGTACAGGAAGATGTGTCTCTGCATCGGTCGGATCCGCAGAGCCTTGACTTTACTGTCCTTACTGGAGCTCCAAACGCTGAAGGAACCCTGCATCAGCAGTTTTCCCTGCTGGGACAGGTCACCCTGGAGTAACAACATCAGAATCTCTCAATAAATACCCTAACCCTAACCAGCTAACCATAACTAGCCAACCCTAACCCTAACCCTTCGCCCTGGGGAACAACAACAGAAAAAGAAACTTGTTCAACTCACATCAAATCCGGTGATGGCGATCTGATGCATGATGTCATTGACATTTTTGAGGACCTCCAGCATGGTGGCCAATGCGTCATCAATGTCCTGCCTGCCTTCCTGGTCCTGAGTGTATTTCAGCATCTCCTTCAGCAGCAGCTGGTATTTTGTAATGCGCTGCACTGGCTTCAGGAGGTATGCTTCCAAAGGCAGCTTGTGGCCCAGTCTGAGCTGGCACTCCTGTAGGGAACAATGGACAGCTCAGGTTAGGCTTCTAAAGGCAGCCAGTCTGAGCAGGCACTCCTGTAGGGAACAATGGACAGCACAGGTTAGGCTTCTAAAGGCAGCCAGTCTGAGCAGGCACTCCTGTAGGGAACAATGGACAGCACAGGTTAGGCTTCTAAAGGCAGCCAGTCTGAGCAGGCACTCCTGTAGGGAACAATGGACAGCACACAGGATGGCTACATGAAGGGCACCAGGGCTGATACAAACTAGTGACTGCTCAGTGACTTTGTAAGTTAGTAAGTGAGTTTGTGAGTAAGTAAGTTAGTAAGTGAGTTTGTGAGTGAGTTAGTCAGTAAGTGCGTTACCTTGAAGAAGGCGTTGTCCCCACAGTCGCGTCTCAGCGCCTCTGAGCGAGTTTTGTTCTGGCAGTATTTGCTGTACATCTGCAGGTCTTCTTGCTGTAACAACAGACAACAGGCGAATGAAAAACAATGAATGATAATTATCATAAAAATGCATGAAACAGTAGCAAACAAACAATATTTCTTTCAATATTCACACCTAGTTCTGGTTCAGAGCACAGAAGCTGACTCACCCTCTCCACAAAACACCTGCCAACCAGCGCTGGTCTGTCCCTGTGGTTCTCCAACAGCACAAGGAACACCCTAACAAACAAACAAACAAACAACAATATGGTCAACATAGTGAATAACAATTGACATTTGCTGAGGCTAAGAAAAAAGTTTGCCAGATGTTGTGAAGAGGTAAAACATTAGGTACATGTAGTTGTGCAGGGCGTGCACCATTGTGTAAATTGTAGACTTAGGTAGGTTGTGTAGGCATGGTAAGCAACATGTAGAGTTAGGTAGATTGTGTAGGCATGGTAAGCAACATGTAGAGTTAGGAAGAATTGTTCAGGCATGGTGAGCAACATGTAGAGTTAGGAAGAATTGTTCAGGCATGGTGAGCAACATGTAGAGTTAGGTAGATTGTGTAGGCATGGTGAGCAAGCGGTAGAGTTAGGTAGATTGTGTGAATGTGACAATCACAGGAATAAGTTGGAGAATCTGGTGGAATGTGTAGAGTAGACATGTAGATTGTGTACATGTGTTATATACATTATAAAGTTAGGCAAACCGTTAGTTAGTTATTTATTCTCCATTGTTGTTACTTACTCGTTGTGGAAGTTGTAGATTTCGTCGAGGTTCCCGAACAGGACACTGCGCTTGCCATGCAGGATGGGGGGGATGAGGTGGGCCAGCTCCGGGTTGTCAAACTGCTTGTAGTAGCCCTGGGGGATAGTAGAATTATTGTACATGTATCTTCATTCCGTAGCTAGGAAAAGTCGATGCTAGTATCACTGCTTAGCCTATTGAGAATGTTAATTTGATCCACAATAAAGGCAAGTACAGCTGCTGACTTTGACTTTAACGGAAGTTCTTTACTAAGTATTACAGATTTGCACAACAGCATTTACATCATCATCATCATCATAGCTTGTCGCCAGTCCACTCCAGCCAGTTCCGCGCTGCTTCATTGGCCTCCTGGAGATCTGTGTCTGTGCAGGTAGGACCAAGCCTGCAACCGTGCATTTACATTACTATATATGGCCTCCGTCGGTCAATACTGACCATGGTAAATCCTACTTAACATCTCCTATCTACAGTATCTACTATGACTACTACTATTATTTACTATAAGTAAAGAAACTTGCTGCTCAAGTTCAGAAAAAGACGGCAAAGCTCACCTCGAGAATGTCGTACAGCTCGCTGACGTAGATCTGTTCCGTGTCCAGCAGTTCATTCATCACATGTCTGCAACACAAGCAATCAATCAATCAATCAATCTGTAAATCTATCAATCAATCAATCAGTAAATCTATCAATCAATCAATCAGTAAATCTATCAATCAATCAATCAGGGAATCTATCAATCAATCAAAACTACACACATGACCAGAGAAGCCACTCGTGCTGAAGGTTATTTTGCCTGCTGACGACACAAATCATTCTACCTGGCTTCTTTCCCCACTGCCTTCTGGAAAATGGTCCTAAGGGTCGGGATCACCCCCGTACCCCTGTGGAGATGGTACAGTCCACCATGGCATGGCTACAGTGGTTGGAGCCATCCATGGAAGTTTGAGGGTAGAGAAGGGTGGAAGAACAAAAAAAGGGAAGACACCTCTAATACAGTGGTACAGCCTGCACACCCCTGCTACAGTGGTACGGCCTGCACACCCCTACTACAGTGGTACAGCCTGCACGCATGATCCTTTCTATACCAGAAATGGCTCTCCCCTGACACCCCCATAACTCCCCACTGCCAGCTCCAAAACTGTCCCAGCTTGTCATAAAATATACCACAGGGAACCAGCCAGGCTTACCACAGGGAACCAGCCAGGCTGGGACCTCTCATTATTTTCTGGTACATTTTCTAAGAAATGGGTCGTTATCTGCAATAATCTTGAACTGCAAAACTGAGAAATTCAGCTGGCAGCATGGCAGAAAAAAATGTGTGTGAAGAAACTTTGTTATCCATGATAGAAAAGGCTGAAACATCCTGACAACACCTTGGGTCCAGTCCAAGAAGTCAAGTGAAACTGAAGATCCAAGGGAATAAGTTAAGACAAAAGTCCTTGTGTGGAATAAGGAGGAAACATAACCTCATTCCTTCAAGGTGACTTACACATGACCTCTAAAGCAGCCCTCCTCCTCTCAATGACAACTGCAGCCTTGGCACAGTTAATCAGAGCAAGGAGGTTTAAAATCAACCTCCTTCATCAGAGGTTGTAAAGCTGGAGTTCTTCATCACGCCTTATTAACAAGAAGGTTCTTACCCAAAGTGGTGTGACTCCTTTTCATGTGATTGGAGGGTATTTTATGACTTCTTTGCTGACCTCCTACCCAACATATTTTTGGCAGTCCCTTAGAGAGAAGCCTACCCCACCCCCCTGCAGCAATGGTATGTCCCACAAGTGTTTTTGATTCAGGCAGTGACAGGAGCAGCCTCCCAGTAAACCAGGTCAGCAGTCTGGGAACTCAGTTTCAGCAGTCTGGGCCCACAGTTAGACATCAGCAGTCTGGCTCTACAGTTAGACATCAGGTCCGCTTTCTCCACACGGATTTACCGCGGCTCTAGTCTTCCACTCACAAATACAGTTTCCCTTCTCCAGAGGTAAGCTATAAACTTTTCTCCTCTACCCTATACTATAGTGACTGTAGATAATTGTAAGTGATGGGGAGTGAGGGGCCAGTTTGCCAGCTCATGGAAACTGTACTGTGAGTGTCCCCCTTTCTCAGCATGCCATGTCCACCCTGCTGGAAAACTGGCCTGCAAATTATTCTACAGTCCCTATAATTTGTTTGAATTCCTCCTCGCTACTGTTCAGTTCCTATTGTCTCCCTCATCCCAACCGTACAATTCCTATTGTACAGTTTGCTTTAGTTTTTCCCTAGGCAACTACTGTAAATCTTGAAAATATTTTTGGGGGGCAAGTTTCCTTTTTCATTTTTGATGGTGACCGACCTCTCTATATCAAGGAGCCATGAATATGCATTCCCAGTGTACTACAGAAGTGTTCCACACCACAGAGCTCCTTTCCCATCTATCATGAGACCTGCGAAAATAACTGAACCTACAGTAGACTGTTCCCCTGGGCAGAAATTTTGTGTAGTACTTCACTTTTCTATTGTGCGTGGATTCCTGAGCCTTGTTCCCTGAATGAACTGCGGTTTTGTGAGTGGATTTCTGGAGGGCGTTTTGCTGCTGCCAGGCAGGGGGAAATGTAGCAGTTTGTTGGTGTACATTACTGCTGCTTGTCCAGCCTGCAAAGTCAACACAGCGCCAGGACCCACTGACTGAGGCCGGCATTTTTCCTGGCTGCTGGGAGCCCAAACAACTGGCAACAGGAGTCCAAACAAACAGAGCAGGGCTGATGGAGGCAGCAGCTGACTGCTCAGGGATGGAGTTTCCATACAGCATTCTGGTCCTGGCTTCCATACATACATATAGTCAGGCATTCTGGTCTGGGCTTCCATACGTACTGTACATGTACATATAGTCAGGCATTCTGGTCTGGGCTTCCATACATACATATAGTCAGGCATTCTGGTCCTGGGCTTCCATACGTACATGTACAATGTACATATAGTCAGGCATTCTGGTCTGGGCTTCCATACGTACATATAGTCTGGTATTCTGGTCCTGGCTTCCATACATACATGTACATATAGTCTGGTATTCTGGTCTGGGCTTCCATACGTACATATAGTCAGGCATTCTGGTCTGGGCTTTTACGTACATATAGTCAGGCATTCTGGTCTGGGTTTCCAGTATAGGTTTCCATACAAGCATTCTGGAATTCTGGCCTTCCATATAGGAATTCTGGGCTTCTAGACGCATTCTGGGATTTCATATTTAACTTTGGAACTTAATTCAAATTTAGGCGCTCAGAGTTTCCATATAGCCTTTCTGGTCTGGTCTTCAGCCATTCTGGGATTCCAGAGGCATTCTTACTAAACTTAGCCTGGTTCCCAGTCTTTTCTGGCTCTCTTCCCAGCAGGAGTTCATTTTTCCACCCCATCAAGCAAAGCTGCTGTAGCCTGGAAGAGAACTCACCCAAACGCAATAGAAATAGTCTGAGCCCCCGGCTAATTCTGGGCTTCCAGAGGCATTCTGCTGAAATATCTGACACAATATAGAAACCAACTGCACCTGTCCTCATAACACAACAAGATGTGTGTGATCAATTTTCAGAAAGTGCTGATATCAGCAAGTTTCATTTGAGACAAACTTGAGTGAATGATCTGATAAGCAGGACTTTAGTGATCAGGTCCAGCGATCAGTCAGGAATTCCACCCTGCAGTACGGGAATGTTGGGAGCTCAGGTAACTGGATATTCAGCCTTCCATAAGGCCACACTAATTTAGTTTGCTGGTTCTCGGATTCGCCGCTTCATTTTTTTCTGATTTGCAAAAAAAAAAAAAGCTGAATTAACTAAAAAATGCTCATATTTTGCCTCCAACAGTTGAGGAAACTTATTTTCTCCACAGTTGTTACAGTGTTTCCATCTATCAATGCAGTGATTTGATTAACAGTTCAAAATTCATTGTTTGAATATATTAACCCAGTCTTTTATGTTGACTTCATGGCTCCTTTTGTTGCATTTGGGCCTATAATAGGATGTTTTTTTTGCACCCTGTGGCTTCATTTTTTTCTGGAAAAATCCGAGAACCAATGAATTAAATTGATGTGGCCCACCCCCCATCTCCCAGCCTGGGACCGTCCATCATCCAACAGAAGCAGCACATTATAAATAGATTTTCCTGCTCAGCTGCAATTCCTGTCTGTTTTTGTCCCATTGTGGGGAACAGTTGGTTGTCATTGTTACAGAGGTGAGAGGTCAACCGTTACCATAGTGTTCTAGAGGTGAGAGGTCACAGTGCCTGCTAGCCTCCATCTTGTCCTCTGACCCCCCTCAGAGCCAGTACAAAACCCCCCTAACCTTACCCTACCCCCTCTGAGCTGGTACATAGCCCCCCTCTGAGTTGTTAAATAGCCCCCCTTAGCGCTGATACAAACCCCTGCCCAGATGCACATTCAGAGCAAATTTCCCCCCAGCAGGGAACCATTTCTGTGCTGTAAACTTAACTCTGAGCTGTGAGTGTCACGACTGGACTAAACTACCTCAAGTGTGTCAGGCTGGTACACAGTTAACTGTTAACCAACATAACTTATTGAAGCGTCAGCACTGATATTGCCTAGTACGTAAATACATTGCCTACTGTATAACGTTATATCTTAGCTACACTGACGGTTATGTCTATGAAAATATAAGACACAACACCATCTCTGCAATTTCCTTCTCACTCCATCTTATCTCAGTTAAGTCAAAATACAAACCTTGCAACTTTTAAAGTTTTCTGGCCTGCTGCCAACTATTTTCTTTGATTAAAATTCAAGTTATCAAAGTTTTGAGTCTTCCATATAGTGTCAGCATAAAGGTGGATGTTAATTTCACCCAAACCTGTCATCCTTAATAACCCATAATTCTAGCAAAGCCATGGCTTCTGCAGTTCCCTTGACATTGAACTGACCTTCAGCTAGTGTTCTATGGAGGGCAGGTCTTATTTCTGCCTGCTCTCCAGATATCTGAGCCTCTGGGTGGGAGGGGGGCGACCTCTAGTATTCTATGAGAGGGTCAATCTCTCAGCTTACTTTCCTCCACAAGTCATCCCAGTTTGGCAGAGGCTCCTGAGTTGTCATCTGAGAATGAAGCCATTACAGCTGGCTACTGTAATTTGGCCAAGTGCCTGTCTGGGGCAGACAGGTCAGGAGGCTACTGTAATTTGGCCAAGTGCCTGTCTGGGGTATACACAGGTCAGGAGGCTCAAATCACTCAGGCCTGCCCTGTTATATGACCTGAACACGTAGCGACTTGTTTTGTCTGCCAGAAGAACATTGTACAAATATACTCTGGAGTCAGATGCCTGCAACTTCTGTCAGCTCAGCCAGTACGTGTGGATTATATAAACAGTTCAGTAAGATACGCTGTATAAAGCATAGAGAAACAATCCTCTGGGGCAGATGGGGGGGGGGGGGCTGTGGGTGATTCACAGGAACTGAGTCCTAGAATGGATTACTGGGAAAGACATTCAAAGCAATTAACTTAATAAAACCCTGTTTAGAAGTAGTTGAGTGATGATGATGTGATGGAGTGATGTAGTTGCTGGGTTGTTCTGGTTCTACCCAAATTCTCCTCCTCAGGTACGAATTAAAGAAATAACTTAAAGAACCACTCCTTTGGCTCACAGTTTGTTCCAAAGTTACGAACAGACAGTGGCTGAACCACCTTGCACCGGGTCATTAACAAACTTGGTTGTTATATGTTGACTCTCTAAGTCATTAACAAGTGGTTGTTATATGTTGACTCTCTAATATCAGCTTTGCTGCCTTGTCAGAGTCAGTTAATGTCCTGTTGCATTTTCAATAAATAAATAACAAGTGGTTGCATCAGGAAACCCCCCCCCCCCAACAGTATCAGAAATATGCTTTGTACAAAGCTGGACTTTGCTAACAGCCCCTGCAGTACTAGTAAGTTGTACACAGCAGACAGCAAACATGGACAGATTGGAATGCTATGTTGGCCAGCCAAGGTCATGAAATGTTGTTTTTCAGACTTATGAAGATGCTTTGGATCCCTGGGCCCAGCCCACTTTAGCTGTATAACTCTGACAATTTCTGAGGCCCCGGGGCAGGAATCAAGGCAGATCAGCCACTGTTCAACAGCATAATTCCACGGCTTCCTTTTCATTTATTTCTTGATCCAGGGTAAAATACTCCTGTACAGCTGTTGGAAAAGCTAAACCCAGAAATATTGCTTTAATGACAAAATTAGAGGCACCAATCATCTGAAACTGTAGCCTGGTTGTTTCCAGCTGTTTGGTGTTTGTCCCTTTCCCTCAAGGTTAATCACATCACCACACGACCTTGACAGAAGTTCATACCAGGCATTCTGGCCAAGATGGTGGAACTTTGTTCCGCTAATGTACCAGATTAGACCGTTCCAACTCTCCAACTGGAGGGGGCAACTTCAAAGGAAAGTCACACAAGCAGACACGAAGGTCAAATAAAGGTGACCTTCAGGCCGATAGCTTGGGTTACAGAATTAATGGCTACCAGAGTTTTGTGTTGGGACAAGTTAGTTTTGGAGTAAAGCCGTTCAGAATTCCTGAGTGATTTGTTGTGACAGAGGTGTGTTATGCCTGATGCAGGCCTGGCCTTCTGTAATCATGTTATTTACAGGGTCTGGTTCATCAGACAAACATCCTCTGTAATGGGAGCCTTTCCTGGGGACAAACTGGACTGAACAATCATTAAAGAAACCGACTTTAAACCAGAGTGGAACAATTCTGTACAAACAGCTAGAGTCTCTCACTGATTGTGCAATAGCCTGAATAAGACAAGTTTTGTGTGAAGATGGGTACAATGATATAGGAGAAAAGGAAACTCACACTTGTGTATGTATCAGAAAAGACTGCATGAATGACAATCCACAGTTTGGTCTTTCTGAAATTTAAGAATTTCTGAGTGGTAACCTTTCTGAGTATCTCTTATGTGGCACCAGTGTTTCTTTTACAAAACTTTGCATCATCAGGAATATCTGAAGGTGAACC